CCTTTTTTCTTTCGGTTACAGTTGGTTTTTTATATTTCCTTTCGCTCTGATTTCTTATTTTGCTTACACATTTTCATCTTACTTTAGAATCAGCCAGCTTCACCCACACTCTCTTCACCCCACCCCAACCCCCTCCCCCCTTGCCATAACCGTTTTTGTTTCTACGTATACTTATTCTTATTTGTAATCCCTGTGTGTGTGTGTTTGTGTGTGTGTGTGTGGGAGTTTCGCATCTCGTGTATGCTATTATTATTACGGGAGCCGACAGAGCTATGTATAAATGTGTGCGTGTATATACATATGTATGTATATGTATTCATGCTTCTGTCTATGCTAACCATTTACATATTGTAGAAAATGCTAGGATACCCTTTATCATTGCATTGATGTACATACAAATGTATCTACATACATACATTCATAGCATGTACATCAGCGTAGTCTTATATGTTACAATAACGTTATTTTCTAATAAGAATAAATTACAAATCCAAATATTAACCTACACATACATACGCAAATTTATGAGCATACATACATACATATACATGTACATACATCTATTGCACTTGGGGGGAAAATATAAATTGTCCGTCGTCTATTTTGTATTTTTGTTCTATGAATTTTTTTTTTCGAAAATTGTCTGTCAAGAATTGCGAGGCATTTACATACATACAATCCCATTGAAATATATGTACATATACTTGCATACACATATATATGAAATACATATATACGCACATACACACACACACACACACACAAAACCACACAGCCACCCAGCAAAATTTTCGTATAAAGAAGCTTTTTTTTACTTTGTCGTTTTTCTTTTTTCTGTTTTCTTTTTTTTTTTATATTTTAATTTGGTTGTTCGGTCTTATCGATTTTTTCCTACCACTTCCTTGTTTGTTGATTTCCATTTACATGCCTGCGAGGGTTAGGGAGGGGAGGGGATTGAAGTGGGAGGGGGAGAGCTCATTTCTCGTAAGAAACGCCTGACGTCTGGCTCGAGGCTGGTGTGCACACATTCGTACACACGTACATACCACATACGTACACTTGTATGTGTGTGTGTGTGTGTGTGTATATGTAGGAGTGCTGTATGTAAATTTTTCTTGATTCGGCCACACCCATAGCGCCAATTAAAACACTTGGATGATACGGAATATAACGAAAAGAAACAAAGGACGGAATTTATGTATGTACAGGAATCGGTTGCAGAAAAGTTTCGCATATTGCGAGAGCCTCGGAATCTGCCAAGCTTTGTTTTAATTGGCTACACGACACGCCAACTACATATGTGTAAATGTGTCTGCACATAAATGTACCGGCTATATACTTACATACATACAGGCACATAAACGTGCTCATGCACTCATCCATGTGTGTGTGTGTGTATGTGTGTGTGTGCCCATTTAGTTATATTCCGTTGGTTAATTGCTTGCTCTAATAATTAGTCTGTGCCGTCGCGTTCCTCCCTTTTGAGGCGATAACGAATCACAAAGTTTGATGTTCAGCCAGTAACAAGAGTAGACGACAATCAGCCATATGACTGGACGGGGTCGTCGTTGACGTCTGTGTGTGGGCGGGTAGGCGGGCGAAAGGAGCAATTAACTTGCCATACACAAACACATTACCACTCTCGCGGGCATCAAAAAAGCAGTGCACATGAAACTCAACAGCAAGACACACGCGCAAAGAGCGCCTCAGCAGCAGCTTTTGCAAGTACGGGGGTTGGTAGGAAGAGCAGAAGAGCAGCAGAGCAGAAGAGCAGCAGAGCAGAAGAGCAACAGAGCAGAAGAGCAGAGAAGAGCCGAGGTGAATGTATGTGTAGAGTTGTAGCAAAGCAAAGCAAAGCAAGGCAAAACCTTACAAAACACATGAGCATGAGAACATGTAGTGACAGCGGCAATACCGGCGATGGATGGCAATGTTTGTGCGAAGGGGGAGGGATGGGTAAGGGAAAGGGTATGGGTATGGGCATGGGTATCATCGGTACGGGTATGGGGAATAGCTGCGCTATGGGGGCCGCCCGACAAGCGACGACCAATCAAGACCCGAGTTGCCGTTGTCCCGCACTGTTGCCTTACTCTTCTCTCACGTTTGCTAGGGCTTGCACTGCTTCTCTCCAGCATCAGCATCAGCAGCAACAGCAACAGCGGAGCAGCAGCAGAAAGAGAGCGTGCATCTGAAACGGTATTAAGCCAGTCGCTCTCTTTAAGTCTGCGAACGTCATCATTGTCGTCGCTTAATAACTGAAACTAACCGAACTGAGTGTCTCCAGAAGAAGAAGAAGAAGAACAACAACAACAAGTACCTCAACTGCCTCGTCATTGGCTAATTAGCGCTCGGCATTAATTATCGTCGTGTTAAAGGGTAATTTAGCTTCGGCGCCAAAGCTCAAAACTCTTTTTAATTGGCTGCGAATTTGTCGTTCTATCGCAGGGTCTCAGCAGAGGGCAAGCGACTTACTTGGGCTTTCTTTTGCCCCAGCAAACGTATCTTTATATGCATGTACATAAGTATCTACGTATCTATGTATCTATGCATCTATGTGTGGATGTGTGGGTGTATATGGAAATTTTCAGAGAGTGGAAGAGTCGACAAGTTCAAATTTTCAAGGTATTCAAATACGTTGAATTATTTATTACCATTATTTTTTCTTTAAGTTTTCAATGTATTTTCCAATACCCTGTAAAATGCCCTAAGAGATTAAATATATTGCGGGCATAGCACAATTATTAATATATATTATTTTCATATAACAAACTTGATTTCTAGATTAGATTTAAGCTATTTATAATGCAATTCCACGTGTGCGGCAGATAATTCTTACTTAGATATCTCTTAAAAAGCTTTCTGAAGAAAAGTTGGAATTGGAGTACGACAGGTGAAAATGGTGAAAAACCACATTTATATATGTTTAAATTTGGTTGAAATCAAAATACAGATCAAATTGCAATTGCGAATCAAAATTGTTGGCAGCCTGTCAAATCCTTTGGCTCGAACAAAGGGTTTGGGCTTTTTGTCATTTATTCCATTGAAGGAATTCGTACTATCCAGACTAGACTATATTCGAAGTTTCTTTTGTACAACAAGTAAAATGCCTGACTCGAAGCTTTGCAAATAACCCAGCTCCAATAATAGAGCACATTTCGACTATTTAAATGAAAACAAAATGAATACAATTTTTACAGAGTATTTTCTGGGTATTTGAAAATACAAATAAGTACTTCATTCAGCCGATCTCGTCATATCCTTGCCCTGAAACTGAAGAATAATCAGGAGATAGACGCACAGACTAAATCGACTTTATGCACAAGACTAAGCTAAAGCCTTAATTAAATGAAAAAAGGTTACACATTGAAAGTATTTTTAGAATATAGAACGATGTTTGCCACAAACAATAGTCATTTTATTTAAGAAAATTGTTCATTCGCAGGCGAATTTCGATTTGCCAATCGTTTAATTCGAAATAATCCAAACAATCTCTTAATTACAAAGGTAACAAAATATTGCATTAATCCGTTGTTATAATCATATTATTTGTGTGTTAAAAACTATCTGTCGATAAATGAGTTTTTGTACGGAAATCTATATATATATATATATGTATATAAAGATACATAGATATATAGATACAGATATAGTCAAAAAGATTCATCCCAACTTTTTCGATAAAGGATTTCAGTGTATATAATCTTTTTTATATGTCATTTAAAGAAAACTCTTTGAAAATATATTAAAGGTAGAGTGACAAAGGAACATGGATAAATAGATTGATACATTTATCGATAGTCTGCAAACCTGAATTTACCGATATCGATAGCTTTATATAACATAATACAGATAAGTGATGGAAAAATCATCAATATATCAACTTATCGATATAATGAGAAAGACGTCGATACATCGACATAACGACCCAATTTACCGATATCGATTACCGATAATAGAAAAAACATCGACTTATTGAGACCGATTTTATTTTTTGATTTGTACTATTTTCAATGTTTTTAAGCACTTCGATAGATTTCTAGAAAAAAAGCATCCATTCAGACACATATCTAGTTTTAGTTAAATACGCCAAAAGTAATCGGGACAAAAATTAGCTAGAACTACAAGAAAGTCTACAATTCCATCTTAATTGTTATTGTTATATTTGATTAGTGTACAGATTTATATACATTGGTATCTTTGTTGATTAGCACTAAATACCTGAGACTGAGATATATGTAATAAACGTAGGTTATCCCTATTTATATTCCTAGCAAATCGCAGAATCCGTAACCGCATATTACCGGATAGGCCAGATAGATTTCCCTATTTGATTCTTCCGATTTGGCAAGAGACCCACTCGTGCCCAAAGTCGGCGACGTTATAAACATACTCTAAAAAGACGTAGAACTCGGGAGAAGTCCGAATGCGGAGGGGATCTGCGAGGAGATCTCATCCCATCGATCTCCCAGATCGGTTTATATAAACACCCTATCTTTGTCGAAGCTCTATCTTGCGCAAAAGAACAACAACTGAAAGAAGCCCACTTTATTGGGTCGAAGGTCGCAGGTCGAAGGTCGGAGGTCGGAGGTGTCTTCGTTTATGCTTTACACATCAGACAATATTACAATATTACACGATAAAATACATAGAATAGAAACATGGATGTATTCCGAGACATCGAGGTAACATTATCTAATGTTAAGAATCGATGTTCTCTTCGAACTTAGACATAGATAGATAGATCTATAGATTTACCCCAACTCTCGAATGTTCAATTATGTTTGTCTAGCCCAATTAGAGGACATTGCCCGATAAAATACGTGCTCTATTTGCATAGAATTGATAGAAACATGGATGTATTCCGAGACATCGAGGGATTGATTATTTCCACGGCGATTATTTCGTCGGAGTTACATAGATAGATAGATCTATAGATACATGCCAACTTGTTATTATTAAATTATGTGCTTCAAGACGAATTGGAGGAGATTGTAACTTACCTAGTTTGAATGAATCCTAGTGCAAATGGATCTGTTTCGTTTGGGTCGCGCATCAGAGCATCAAGTGAATAGCTTTCTTTTCCTCCGTTGCGATTCCCAATCAATTCACGCTGTATTCGAGTCTTACCATTTTTATAGCGATATTTGTAATATTCTTTTTAAGATTTAGCTGATGTAGGTTCTAGTTTAGTTTAGTTTAGTTGAGTTTAGTTTAGTTTAGTTTTTGTACTGTTTTTAATTTTAGCTTAAATATTATAGGAACTTTAAATCGAGTGTGTGGCGTGACGAGTTCAAACTGGATTGCACCTGAAACAATAAATAGAGATACATATGTACATATGTATGTATGTGTACGTGTATGTGCTGAATGTGATGTATGTCTATTCATTCATATAAGAGAATTGTGGCGAAGACAAGAAGAAGCGAAGCACGTTTGACTTTCGCATGAAATAGCAATTAATATTTCCTTTGCAGCGTCTTTTGTATTCCGCAAGGAATGGCACCTACTTCCGGTCGCTACCTATCAAATCGGGACTGTGGCAGGAATCGCGGCATGCACGACATGAGGGTGAGATCGCGACAGCATCGAAAGCGAAACCGAAACCGAACGCCGACGAGGGTGACTGGGACGAGAGGGCGGGGGAGAGGATGAGGGTGTAATTGCCATGACCAGGTGACAGGTGACCCGGCACTGGCCGCCAGTCCAGGCCTAAACGAGTATACAGTAATTCCTGGCTATGTACATATCTATTAAAGTATGCACTGAAGAATGTGTCTGTCCCGCGTCACAGATAGTTTTGCAAATTTCTCTGTTTTTTAGCTATTATGCAGTTACCTGCATTTCGCTATAATACTTTATATAGAGCTGCTAGTTTTGCCGTTATTTATTCTTTGATTCTCACAGTTTGTCATCACAAAACCCAAATGGAAAGTCGCGAAATACACAAAAAATACTCAAAAGCACGGCAAACAAAAATTGTAATTTCCTAAAAAGCTATGCACGTTTCGTCTTGGGGGCGGGGGGAGAGGGCGAAACTGGAGAGGAAGGAATTCTGATCGGCCATATTCATGTATGATGTGTGCACCCATGATATCCATACATACATATGTATGTATGTGTGTACGTATCTAAGAAAATTAAAATCTAGTGCAATTTGCACAGTGTGTACACACACACACACACACATCGGAATATGCATGTGTGCATACGTTTATGTAGTATTTACATACGTAACGTACGAACATACATATATGTATTTACCTTGCGATATCACAGTTACGTACAGTCACCCATATGTACATACATACAATTGTATGTAAATAAGCATATTTATACACACACACATGTATACGAATGAAATACGACTGAAATTTGCAGGGGCGAAAGAAAGAGAGAGACTAGATAGAGTGCAGGCTGTCGCTCAATACGCCCGCCGCGATTTAATTTGCCAACTTGTGCTTTTTGCATTTTTAATATCAACACTTTTACTCCTAGTTGGTTATAACGAGTGAGACAGTTGTCTCTTTTTCATGTACGCACATGAATTTGCACTCACACACGCACACGCGCGCACACATATACTTTGATATGCATATATGTACATATGTATGCTGGCGTATTCAAATTTTTTGCACATCTACTTTTCTCCATGGACCACGTGCCTCATTATTTCGCTGAGAGCACACACACATCTATCTCTACTACATCGATGCTCTCTCACCCCTTTTATGCGCGCATCTTCTCTCTCGCTCTGGCAGCCACCGCTTCACACTCTTTTAACTGCCTAAATTCAGTATATGCATACACTCACACACACACACGCACACACGCTCAAACTCTCAGTGATGAATGCAATTAACAAATTTTCCCCGAGTCTCTGTTGCCTGCCTTTTCGCCGTATTTTATTATGCGCTATCTCTTTTTACTTTGTACATAGAGAACGTTTGTTTTCTTTTTGTTTTTTTGTGAGTCGTGGATACGGCACACACACACATATCCACATGTTTATATTTGTATGTATGCTCGTATATAAATTATTTATTTATTTATTTATTTATTGGTGCCTTGCACTAATTGATGTGGTTAAATGACACGAGCGAATCGAAAGGTTCTTTTGGTCTAAAATATAACAGATATTGGTACATATAGCAGAACGGAGCTTAACGGAACAGAGCATATGCCAAGATCTGGCAGTTGTTATTTGCGGTTAAACGGTAATGCGGTTAAACGGTTATGCGGTTGACAATTAAATTGTATATTTAATGCACTGATAATCCGTACAGACATGTTAAAACATGTTAAAGATATATGTATATGTATGTACATTTAAAACATTTGAACATCCAGTCACATTATGTTTAGATATAAATGCACAAAAGTATTTTAGCTTGAAATGCAGGTAATTTTTAATTTTACAGTCGAATGTTTTATTTGCGTGGTATAGTTATAAGGAGATATACATATATTTGATTGGGATTCGTAGCGGTACTTTTTAAGTTGATGTATTTTGCCGCGTATTTTTTGCCGTTATTGCTCAGTAAAACAAATTGGGTTTCACCATTTTTCGCACAAACACATATATAATCACAATACAATTTGTTATATTTTCTTTTTTTTGAATCGTTATCGAATCGAAATAAAATGATTGCGTTATTTGAATATTCGGAATATGCAACAAAATTGCGCAGTTTGCTTGGGTACGTCGTGATGTACGCGTGGAATGTGTACATCATGTACATCAAATGCATGTCAATGCATGTATGTATGTTGTTGTAGGTAAATTGGTGTATTCATTTGAATTGCTTGATTATGATGTATTATTAGATTTATTATGATTTAACCGCTGTTGCACTATGCGCTGTACCTCGATAACGTGAACCTAGCCGCTTCCACCGTCGATTTCATACTACCAATTGTATCTGTATCTTGACTTTTTTGTGTCTTTGAGATACTTTTTCACCCTAAAGAGAGCGATGGTCTCGCACGCAGCACACAGCACACAGCTCTCACTCTCGCTCTCTGCAACGAGAGAGACCAAGCACGAGAGCACAACCGGAATCACTGTGGCAGTGAGCGAGAGAGAGTGAGCGAGAGAGAGGAGAAGCGAAGAGAGCGCGCTCCGTAATGGGTAATTATTGCCATGCAGAGTGGTAATTAGGCGGGAACGAGACAAGAGATGCCATAAAACAAAGTACCAAAGTGCTTTTTATTCGTGCGAGAACGTGAGCGCCTATTGTGCTCGCAACTAGCGTGTGGTGGCAGTGGGAGTGCGAGGGGGAGAGGGAGTGGGAGTGGGAGTGGGAGCAGTCCGGGCAATGACAATCATCGTTCATTATTTTTGCTTATAACTACCGTCGGATGTTGTGCTTATGTGCCCGTTGCACTCTTTTGCCCGTTATTCTCCTCGTCTTTGCTTTGTTATATATACATATATTCCCTTTCTTTGCATACATATGTACAAGTGTATGCTGTGCGTGTGCATGTGTGTGTGTATGTGTGTGTGTATGTACATTCAGTTTATGTCTGTCTATGTGTGAACCGTGCTTTGTCACATCATCGGGCTTTCATAGCCAGATTAGTTGGAAAACGTACAAATTTTTATTTTTAATAAACATATAAATTCCATTGAATCAAATTCGTTTTGATTATTTCCCCATTGGAATTTATGTTAATGTTTTAACTAATCGATTTAGTTACTAACTAAAAAACTGGAGAAGAGTTGAGGAAAGGCTTTCAACATTTTTGTGTTGAGTAGTTTTTTTGAATAATTATAATTTCCCGACGCGACTTTGACCTTATGCGTTTTGAACGCATTTAACCAATCGCGTCTTAGTGCTCGCCTTTGACCCAAAAGGAAACGTTAGTAAACATATGAGCTGGATGAGCTTAGGGATTGGGTTAACAGCTCACACAGTCATTCAGCTAGTCAAGACAAACTCTTAACGTATATTACCTGGTATTTCTTCAAATTTTCAGCTCGTCAAAAATATATATATATTATTATATATATATATTATTAAAACTTTTCATGGATATTTGAAAATGATTTTGAAGTCCATCGACTTCAGAACTTAAGCTTTAATGTTTTCCGCCCATTTTCCATCCGTAAGCAAACTTTCCTTTATACAACCTTGAAGAAGTTGATTTTGCGGAAAACCTATCAAGATCTTTGAAAATGAGCTTGAAGTCGATCGGATGTTTAACGAAAATCTTTCATATAACCATATTTCGCCTATTTACCACAGTTTCAGGTGGAATTCCCAGCTGATCGGACGAAACTTTGCCCAAAAAATATTTGATCCAATTTTTACCACAGCGGATGTTTCAATTCAGCGAAATGTGTGAAACAAAAAAGGAACCTTTAAAATGAATTTGAACCCGAATCTTTAGTCAACAAGTCTCTGATCCCCATTTCCACCTAGAATTGATCGCTTTTTCGAAAAGTGGGAAAGTGTTTCCGATCGTATAGGAAACAAAAACTAAGGATCCGAATAAGAAAGAGGCTTAACAGGACCTACCCTACAGACCTATATCATATACTCACCAAAAATAGTCTAGTCCAAACAAAATAAACATAAACCCACCTACGAACTGTAAATAAGTAAACTAAGCTACCTTAAACCAAAGCTATTGTCACTATGAATCCCTGATCCTCACGCTGATAATAATAAAAGATATCGGATATGTATATCAGATAAAAATGAAAGAATTTCAAAAAGAAAAAACCCTTTCCGAAATCCTCTCGAGCAAAAAGGAAGCTCTATTATATATATACAACATAATATAGGGGCGTGTTCCGGATGGGCGGAATAAACTTTGGAACCGGCGAAGACAAATCTGTCGTATCTAGTCCTAATATCAGCTATTGCAACAGGTTTTCAATAAAATATCTATTTACTTTAAAGATTTGTTAATGTTATTTCTTTTTGCAGTTATTTTCCTGATATATCATACAACTTTTGTGAAATATTATAATCGAGGAGCTGGCATCTAAATCTCATATCTTAGGAATATCCAAAACTAGTTCAAAATAAACTCGAATAATTTGTGGAAATTATATTAGCTAATGTAGAAAATGTACATGAAAGACAAAAACTCAGAAATAAATGAAATGTTTTTGATTTTCTACTGTATTGAATAATATATTTAATAAATTATATATGAATGATTCTCTATATAAAATATGATTAAATAATATATAAATGAACCTCTATATAAACTACTTTAATACCCTTACAGACATTTGCCTTACGCAGAATTTGCAGATATGTGCAAATAGTGAAGGTCGTAAAAATGTCTTGGAATACAGAATTTTTATCGTACAAAATCGAATTTTACGATCGATTTTTTCTAAATAGCCATATAATATAGTAGAGAGATATAGAGTATACACATAGTTTAGCTAATTAATGCCAAATTTAGCCGAGATATCTTGATAAACAAAAAGTTTGCCATACAAGAACCAATCGACCGCTCATCCCAATGGCAGTAAGTGTGATATATAGCCTTTCGATCCGACTACAAGCGATAAAACTGAGAGACTAAATCACATAGACTCGACTCCGCTGATCTAGAATATATATACTTAAAGCTTTCGGAGATGTCTCCCATTTTCAATGGGTTCACGGTATAACACCTCATATTTATTCGCAAGTTTAGGGAAATTCCGTTTCGGTGAAAAAGTAATATCAAAGTCATTGAAATATTTTCATATTATTTAATGTATTTCATATTTATTTAATGTTATTATACTCTTGCAAAGGGTATTATAATTTTGTCGTGAAATGTGTAACGCATAGAAGGAGACAACTCCGACCCCATAAAGAATATATATATTCATGATCAGTATCAAGTCTGTCCGTCTGTCTGTTTCTATGCGAACTAGTCTCTCAGTTTTAAAGCTATCTTTATGAAACTTTGCAGAAGTGCCTCTATCTGTTGCACGCAGTTCATATGTCAAAACCATAATGGATCGGACCACTATATCACATAGCTGCCATATAGGAACGATCGGTCGAAAGGTAGATTCTTGTATGAAGAACATTTTTGTTTATCCAGATACCTTGACCAAACGCGGCATTTATTAGTTTAACTATGCTCCTCAAATATATGGAAAATCCTATTAAGATCGGACCACTATATCATATAGCTGCCATAGGAACGATCGAAAGGTAAGTTGCGTTACTTTGAATCTGATAGATGATGATATAAAAAAGATATGGGGTTTCCTGGAACACGCATCTGCCGTGTAAAAATAGTATTAAATGTATTCTGTTCTCCGCAAAATTCGGACTAAAAAGTAACTGCTGGAACTTGAATTTCATAAGGATCGGACAATAAACACCGAAGTATATAGCGATAGCATTTGCCATAGTTTCAGACTAAGGGAAGAAGTGCAGGGTATCTCATAGTCGAGCACATCCCTCTAGACCACTCTTTTGAACTGCTTTGTAAATCGGTATCATCTGAATAAATACCGACATTCAGTTAAGGGGTTCATTGCTAAATCAAGGGCATGTTTTTTGATATTAATCTTAGACATCAATTTTCCACCCATTTCCCTACCATGGGAAACTTAAATATAAGCGTAACACATTGAACTCCACGTCGATAGTTATATCTTATTCGAAAAGTGAGATTGAGGTTCAACCAATAGAAGGAATCAGTAGAAGGAATCAACGTTTTCTATTCACAGTTACGGGTGGAATTTTCAAATTTTAAGATCTTTTGAAAAAATATTTGAATCCGATCGAAGGAAACTGAAAACTTCGCTCATTCTCCACAGAATGGCTGGATTTTCCGGAAAGCATCTCAATGGAATATGTTTTAAGTTGATCGAATAAAAAGCCAAAATTTCGAATCAACGGATCTTTAATTCTAAAAATAAAAGTTCGTTCATTGCGCCTTTGGTGGATTTCGCTTAAAAACAAAAGCAAAAATGTTTCATTCAAATATTTTGCGCGGTTTCAAATTCTTAGCTCTTACTTAGCTCATAGTTTTCTTGGTTATTTTTCCAAACTTCTTAGTCCACGCCAATTTTCCACAGTTGTGGGTGGAATTTCCAAAATCGCTGAAACACATATTTAATAAGTTCTTATGTAGGGACGCAATTGAAAGCTTCTCCCGAAAATTCTTTGAAACGCATTTTCCACAGTGAAAGCTTGAATTCGGAGAAGAGCGGGAAACACGTCTCAAATGAATTTTCAGCAAGAACTTTGCAAATGAATTTGAACGCGAAACGTCACACTCTAAATCGTTGACTCCTATTTACACCAAGGATGAATGCATTTTCCAAAAAGTAGAAAACAACAATCAAATGAAAGTTTCTTGTATAACATCCGATCGGATTCAAAATCATTTGCAAGGATTTTTGTGAAAATTCATTTCAGACGTGTCTCAAACTTCTCCCCAAAATCTGTTCCTGTGAAAGTTGATAAGGTCGAAGTTTTAACATTCCGTCCGATTGGTTGAAAAATGATTTTTAAAGACTTTTTTTAGAACTAAATACTAATACGTGTTTCGGAGATTTTAGATATTCCGCAACTGTGAAAATTTGCCGAAATATTATAAAATAGACGTGGAATTCAAGATACAACGGGCGAGAGCAGGGTAAAAAAGAGATATCTACAATTTAAGGCACAAAACTTGCGTCGGGCAATGCCGGGTAAATAGATCAATGAGGAATAAATCAACTGAACATCCGAATAACTGTACAAGCCGAAGAGTTTCTGACTGACTAAATAACGGCATACTTTAAATGTAGATCGTTCATTTTGGTTCAGGTTCGGTAATCATGAATTAGTTCAGTAGTTCATTTTGATGGCCTGCTCAATCGAACTTGGGCTGAACGAAGGTACACACAGGTACATATAGGTACATAATTATATATTAATGTCCG